AAAAAATAATAAACTAATGTAATAAAACATTCTCAAGCTTACTGAAGGCAAGTAAACACTCCAAGTATTACTTACAAGCTAAATGATAAATAAATATATTACTCAAAAATACAAATTAAATTGTTTTTTTTTTAGTTTTTAAAAGTTTTTCAGATAGTAGCCTAGTAAATGCTTCTAGAAATAGCCTACTACAGACATTTCATGAAGTAATAAATCTAAAAGTCATCTTCACTGTATACATTAAATATAGATTATTCTTATTAAAGTTAATAAGTGATTCAGTCAAGAGCAGTGAGTGATTTTTCTCCTTTTCTTTTGTTTGATTAACATTTATGATGCAGTCTGCGGCTGCAGGTTTACGCTGTTGCTTTAAGATCTGACGCATAGATCAAATATTTTGACACATCTGTATTTCTCTCAACTGTTCAAGTTCACTTAAGACAAAACCGACTGCATTTACATGAATAGTGTCTAAGACGGGCATTTTGACATAACTTTTCGTGTAAGTGTGTAGCAATAACAGAACTTAAAAGGATTAGTTCACTTTCAAATTAAAATTTCCTGATAATTTACTCACCCCCATGTCATCCAAGATGTTTATGTATTTCTTTCTTCAGTCGAAAAGAAATTAAGGTTTTTGATGAAAACATTCCAGGATTTTTCACCATATAGTTGACTTCAATGGACTCCAAACGGTTGAAGGTCAAAATTACAGTTTCAGTGCAGCTTCAAAGGGCTTTAAATGATACCAGACGATGAATAAGGGTCTTATCTAGTGAAACGATCGGTCATTAAAAAAAAAAAAAAATAAAGTATATGCTTTATAAACACAAATGCTCGCCTTGCTCTGTTCTGCGATGCGCGTTCATGACTTCACGTGATACATAATTATGTTGAAAAGGTCACGCTTGACGTAGGCGGAATTACCGAGTCAGTGTTTACAAACGTGGAGAAGGAGGACCGTTCAAAAGTTGTTGAATGTTCAATGACACATATTCAAATGTCTTTGTGTCAGTTTATTGTTTAAAATGGAAATTTCGTGTGTGTATCCTGGATGTTTTAATATTAAAAAACCTAAAAGAAAATTTTCGCTAGGAAATAAATTTTTTACTTTTCATAGATTTCCCATACACAATCCTGAGCGATTGAAGCTGTGGTTGCTCGCGCTGCACTTGGATATCAACACACCCGAACATGCTCTGATATTTAAGAGAGTGTGCAGTGATAATTTTTTCGACGATGATTTCAAACCCTCCCAGCAAGGAAATCGCCGTTTTCTGAAAGCGTCGGCTGTGCCCAATACATTTTTACAGCAAACAGAGGTATGTATGTTTTTTTTACTATATTAGATGCATTAACGTTTTTTTCTAGTCAATGTGTTTCATAACGTGTGAATGTTTATTTATTACTAATGTCTTCCTATTACTAAAGACGTGTTAAAATGTATTTTTTTACTCCTAAGTATCCATCTCGTGGAAATCTAGAGCCCCTAGCAAAAGACAATGACGCTGAGCTGGAGGTCCAGGGAGCAGGAGTGTTTTTGGCTAATGTTCCACAGTCAACACCAGCAAAGCATCAGGACTCTGGTCCAGGAACTACCACGAGACAGTTTGCAGATGCTCAGTCTAAACTTTGTTTAGTGCTCACAAGTCCTGAAAGTGTTGGAAAGAGGACAAAACCCTCAACATCTGGGACATATTATGCCCTCCCTGCAATACACTCCCATCAGTCTGTAAGTACCATCATTTGTGACCAGTTAACAAAGTGAAATTATGGTCAGTTATGCTTTTGTGTTATACATTGGAAATAAATTAATTTCTAAAAATGTATTTAATAATTTGGTGATGTTGTATCCTTAAAAATGCACAGATATACTGTAATAAATGTATTAAATCTACTATTTACATTACTAATTTATATTCAGTTATATTATAAACCAAATTTAATCCATGTAATTTCACAGCCTCCTGTGTATAATCAACCAGAACAGCCAGAAGAGCAATTTGAAGAAAGTTTGGAGCTTGATGTTAGCATGCTTTCCATAGATCCTCCATCGGACAAGAAAGATCTTAGTTTTTAGCCACTGAGTTCAACCTCAACGTCTGCCCCAAGCACAGAAGATGAGGAATGTGAAATGCATTGGAAACAGATAAAATGGATTGTCAACGAGCCCAATGTCATGGATCTTTTCAAAAGATGTCAAGAATGTGGATCAGTAATAACAAAGACCAGAAAAGCAACTGTGGGAAGTGTTCTCCGTGTTCACTGGGAATGTGAAAAAAACCACAAGGGAAAGTGGAGTTCATGCACTGATGTTAGGGGAATGCCCGCTAATAATCTTCTTGTTTCTGCATGCACACTATTCACTGGAGCAACATATACAGACATCGCTGATTGGGCCACTTTGCTCAACCTTCAAATACCCCATAAAACCACTCATCATGACATTCAGTCTTCCTACCTTATTCCAGTCGTTAATGAAGAATATCAAGAACAACAGAAAGCAGCAATTAATGACTTACATTTGCAAACTGAACTCCGTAATCCAGTTCATTTGTCTGGAGATGGGAGGTCAGACAGGCAAGTAAATGTAGTTATTAATTTTTTTGGACAATTTTAGAAAATTAACAATACTGAAATGTTTTGTACTTGTGCTTCTTTTAGCCCTGGATTTTCGGCGAAATATAACACTTACAGTTTAATGGATGACACAACAGACAAGATTGCTCACTTTGAGTTGGTGCAGGTCAGTTTACATGACATAATTCTACATCCCGTATGTTATTAATTATAAGTGCCCTTAGTAAGTGTTCAGTATTTTAAAGTGAAGTACAGTAACATTACTGGCAGTTTTTGTAATGTTATGATCAATATAAAATGCTTTTAATAATACTTAATAAAATATGTTGGTTATTTTGAACATCAACGACAATAGTATACAGTATTATAGTATACAGTATAGTATACAGACAATAGACAACAGTAGGTTTCAAGAGGGCTGTGAACTCACTACAAGAGCAAGGAATCAAAATAGATGTGCTGACCACAGACAGATCACCATCTATTAGAAAGATTATGCATGTAGAATATCCCAACATTCACCACGAATTTGATATTTAGCATGTAGTCAAAGGTAACTGTCTCACAACAATTTAATACTACTATATGTATATATATATATATATAGAGAGAGAGAGAGCCCTTAGTAAGTGTTCAGTATTTTAAAGTGAAGTACAGTAACATTACTGGCAGTTTTTGTAATGTTATGATCAATATAAAATGCTTTTAATAATACTTAATAAAATATGTTGGTTATTTTGAACATCAACGACAATACACACACACCTTGTTTATCTAGCATGGTACTGCATTTCTGGTTACAGAAGCATCTAGTTCTGTGGCCATGGAGCCAGTAGGTTTCAAGAGGGCTGTGAACACACTACAAGAGCAAGAAATCAAAATAGATGTGCTGACCACTGACAGATCGACATCTATTAGAAAGATTATGCATGTAGAATATCCCAACATTCACCACGAATTTGATATTTAGCATGTAGTCAAAGGTAACTGTCTCACAACAATTTAATACTACTATATGTATATATATATATATATAGAGAGAGAGAGAGAGAGAGATATTAATCATGAATTATCCAAAAAGCAGCATACTTCAAAGCTTATTTATTCCTATAGGAATATACAATGTGTTGTTTGCATGGATCAAAAAATTGCTACAATAAACCGTGAAGTACTAAATTAACCTTGGTATGCACTATATTGTCACTCCTTCTTCATTGTTTGATAATTAAAATTATTGTTTTTCAGGACTTTCCAAAAGGTTGTGCTCCATGTCAAGATACTAGGACAATCGAGAGCTGCAGCCATGGATACGAAGTATCTGCAACCATCTATGGTATTGCTCTGCAACTTGTGGAGGTGACCCTGATATATACACACTTAATGTATATACATATTAATGTTCTTAATATATACACACACACTTGTGTTATCTTTTTGGGGGGCGTTACGTAGACATAATAGCCTTTATACTGTACTAATGTTATAAATGAGTCCCTGAACCACAACAGGACAGTCTGCATTTTTTGTAGAAAAAAAAAAAATCTATTACTATGACTTTGTTCTTTATAGGGATCTAAATTGTGTTCTTGTAATGTTTTAAATATTGGGGTTCCTGGACCACAAACATCTATTTTTCTGTTTATAATTCATACATTATTATTATAATAATTACTTTTTTGCGTATTCATGTATTTATACAGGAACTGATCGAGAATTGGAAGTCCATTCTTTTTCACATTACAGGTGTGCACAGTTGGATTGAAGGAGGGAAGCCGAAAAAATGTGGACACAATGATCTCAGTCCGGAACAGCAACAAAGAAAAAAATGGCTTGGAAAAAACGTGCCTTCCACACACTACAGAGTCTTGTCCTGGACAAAGGACTTCTAAAGGATTTGAGGCAAATGGCTCTTTTCAAACACACTGGTAAGTTAGTTATATACACATAGTAATGTACATACACATGTTCATGTAGGTACACCGGATACAAATTTTTCTTTTATTTTTAGGACAACTGGAGGTGTTTCATTCTGTCCTACTGAAGTACTGCTCAAAGAACCTGCATTTTCATTATGCGTCCATGGTTGCAAGAACACAACTAGCTATCCTTGACCACAATGAAAATGTAGGTCGTCAGCAAGCCACAACCACTACTGGTAAGTGGGGAAACAACATACTGTGCGTAATATGTAGGGTGATGACAATAGATTTGAGTTCATAAAGTTGAGAATCAAATGGGAATGTTCTGTTATAGTAATGTAATCAATACAATTTGTATAATTTATTCTGTTATGTTTCATTTTTTTTCTTTTATTATAGGTGTACCTCGGTACAATGTGGTTTTCCCAAAACATACCAAAGAATGGTTAGCCAAAGCGATTTTTGAACAAACCACTCAAAAATTCAGAGAGACTTTTTGGTTGAGAAAGTTCTACAGCGGCGGCTGGACACCAACGTTGTTTACAAGGACAGTTCTTCTCATTTGACTCATCGCCAATTGCCACAGAACATAGCCCTAAAACCAAGGCCTGACAAGCAAGAAATAATTGCAAAGCGCTTATCAAGATTTGGACATTAATTTACTTAAAAATGTTATGAGTCTAATGTACAATTACTATTATTACTCATGTTGTTTTATAGTTTTTCTCATTTTTTCTTATTGCGGTAACGACAGAATACACCGTTGGTAAAAAAACGTATTTCTTGTGTTAGTGTGAATATATGGTCCTTACTGATGGTACCCTACATCAGTTGCAATTACACACCAAAGACTGTAGTTATCTCAATTCTGTTTTATTCTTCCAAATAACCGTTCGTGTGAGACATCAAGTATGTAGTGTTGATGTATATACAACAACAAATAACACTGAATATGAAAGTAACAAAACTACAGCAATTACAGTAAGTAACAAATACTACCCAAGCCACAACAAATTATAATGTTTATAAAAAATGTAACATTGTAATTCTAATTCCAATTAATAATATTATTCCTACAAAAGACCAAAAGCTTCTTCTGCTTCTCTGAAGCCCACATAATGTCCTGATGGAGAAGGGTATGACTGTCTGATGGCACTGACAACACAGGATGGAAGAACCCTCCTGTTTTGTCTTCCCAATCTCTCTCCTTTCAGCATCCATTCCAGAACTATCCTGTATGCCACCAGCCTGTATTGACTGTAAAATAAAAGAAATGTGTGTAGTGAATAACTTTTAAAAATATATATTTGTACTACATGTAATCACACTACACGCGATACTTACTCTACTGTTAGGGTGCCACCAGGTCCTTGTGGCCTCAGACGGCGTCTCCAGTTAATTTTGGGCAAACTAAAAAACACCTCTAAAACACTGTTCCTCAGTAGCGGTGGAAACCCATTTTGTTCGGTAATGCAGCGAGATGGAGACAGGGTCTCACCAGCTGACTCACTGATTGATTCTAATGGCGGAATTGAAATGGTCCAGTCGTGGCAGCATTGAAATTCTTCCTCTGTTGGCAATGGTTGGCATTTGCCACATGTGCGCCACCACGTCTCGTTAGATCTTCGTCTGCCCGAAGCTTGAGAGGTTTGTGTCTCCGCAGCAGTCTCCTCCATCTGCCTAATTTCTTCCTCTGTGTATTCCGGTTCAAAAAGGTAGGGCAGGGCGAAAAACTCCATCTCATCTTCTCCTCCAAGTTCAAAATCGTCCAACATCATTGTTTTACCTTTTAACTCCCTTTTTTTGTAAACAGCGTTTGACTTTGTATTTGCACGTTCAACTTGTAAACACTGACTCGGTAATTCCGCCTACGTCAAGCGTGACCTTTTCAACGTAATTACGTATTACGTGAAGTCATGAACGCGCATTGCAGAACAGAGCAAGGCGAGCATTTGTGTTTATAAAGCATATACATTTATAATTTTATTTTATAAATGACAGATCGTGTCGCTAGATAAGACCCTTATTCATCGTCTGGTATCATTTAAAGCCCTTTGAACCTGCACTGAAACTGTAATTTTGACCTTCAACCGTTTGGAGTCCATTGAAGTCAACTATATGATGAAAAATCCTGGAATGTTTTCATCAAAAACCTTAATTTCTTTTCGACTGAAGAAAGAAATACATAAACATCTTGGATGACATGGGGGTGAGTAAATTATCAGGAAATTTTAATTTGAAAGTGAACTAATCCTTTAACGAAAGGCTACCTGCAGCCATCAGAGCAAGTGTAATTACTGCATTCACACACTCCTCAGATGCTCTCATTTCCCGAGTTGTGCTTTTAAGTTGGAATGTGAAAACAACATGGACACTCGCGTTACTACAAAGATGTGTTGGATTTGTATTATTAGAGCTTTCCAATGTGAGTTCACGTGCATTTTCTCAGTTGGGGAAATTATTTTTCATGTGCGGTGCCGGTGATGATGCTTCTTACATCCGTTTCGGAGAACAAGAGGACAAATATTTCAATCGATCGCTCAGGCATGGCACCGAAATGAGGAACCGAAATCTGCATTCG